CCAGAAATGTATGCATTCCCTGCTCCAGGTCCCGCTCACTCTGACCTCTATTTCTGTCATCACATCTCCTTCTCTGACTCTGACTCTGTCCTACCTCCCTTTTTCAGTTGGTTATTATTGCTGTTATTTTTTTTTTTAATTTTATTTATTTACTTGAGAGAGAGAGAGAGGAGTGGAGGGAGGGACAGAGGGAGAAGCAGACTCCCTGCTGAGCAGGGAGCCCAATGGTGGGCTTGATCCTGGGACTTCAAGATCACGACCTGAGCAAGGCAGACACCTAACCAACTGAGCCACCCAGATGCCCTGATTGCTTCTATTTTTGATAGAAAGCCTTGTTTATTTCTTAATTGTGGTAAAATACGCAAAACATAAAGTTTATCATCTTAACAATTTTTGAGGGTACAGTTTGGTATTATTAAATATATTCATACTCTATACCCATTAAACAACTACTCTTCCTAACCCCTAGCAAGCAGAATTCTACATCATGTTTCTATAAATTTGGACTACTCTGTATACTGGAGTCCTACCATCCCTGTCCTTTTGTATTTGGTTTATTTCATTTAGCATAATGTCTGAAAGTTCAGGTCATAGCATGTGTCAGAATCTCTTTTTACGGGCTAGATAATATATTGTGTGTACACACCTTTTGGATATCCATTCAAATATTGGGGGCTACTCAGTTTGTTTCTAGTTTTAGGCTTTTTTTTTTTTTTTTTTCAGTTCCCAGACCCAGTTCTTCCCCCCACAACACCAAGCAATTCTTGAGCTGAATGCCTTTAGCTGAATGCCTAAATATATATTTTGTATAAATTGTAATATTGCACTATTGTAATGCTGCTATGAAAATGGGTATATAAATATCTCTCTGAGACCCTGTTTTCAATTCTTTGGGGCATATAACCAAAGTGGAATTGTTGTATCACATGGTAATTCTATTTTTAATCTTTTGGGAACTGCCAAAATTGTTTCCCATAGCAGCTGCACCTTTTTACATTTCCATCAGCAGTGCACTGGGCTCCAATCTCTCCACATTCTTGGCAATATTTTTTGTTGTTTGTTGTTTGTTTTGATAGTAATCATCCTTATGGGTAGGAAGTGGTATCTCACGATGGCTTTGCTTTACATTTCTCTAATGGTTAGTGATGTTGAACATCTTCGTATGCTTATTGGCTATCCTACCTCTCTTTTATAAAGACCCTTGTGATTACATTGGTTCACTTGGATGGTCCAGAATTATCTCCCCATTTAAGGATCCTTAAATTAATCCCACCTGCAAAGTTCCTTTCATCATGTTAGGTAACATATTCATAGGAGATTGGGACATGGAGACACCTTGGGGGATGATAGCTGTGCGGGGGGGGAAGGTCATTATTCTGCCTACCACAGGTAAGTATCATACCGCCAAAGCCAAGAGAATAAAAAGTTTGAAGACTGAATATTTGGTTGGTGATTTCAAATACTGCAGAGAATCTGTGCAGTCCAAAAAGATTGAGCTAAATGTTATGATCAGTGACTTTTGAGATAGCTTTTGGTAAAGTGGCAGGGCTGCAACTCAGGAGAAATTATTAAGATTTTTATGTAAACTACTAATTTGTGATTGTACTTACATATATATGTTTCTCCCTGAAGGAGCTAATCTGTTTAAACTACCCAGAGTTTTCATAAATTCAGGTTAAAGTAAAAAATGTGCCACATCCCCCAACACAAAACAAAACAAAACAGCCTAACATGTGGTCCCAGACCAATATGGCAGCTCTACTCTGCAGTGTTCAGGGTCCAGGTTCCTTCCCACTATCTGCTCCACTGTCCCCAGGAACAAAGTCCTGGTCCTTGTGGTCTAGGTGGCATCCACATTCCAGGCAGCAGGCTGGAGAGGCAAAAATGAAGGGGATGCCAATACACAACAAGAGGAAAGATAGACCAGTTATTGTAAGAGGTCACTTGGGTCGAAATTAAGGTGTTGGGTGTGAGGGCAGATCACTTGTATGGAGGGTCCAAACAAGAGAGAGATGACCAGTATTACAGAGGTTGAAGGAACCAAGGAAATAGGTGTTGTTTGTTCTGTTAAGACAAGAATTGGATTCTGTTAAGGACTGACTGAGACTCAAGATCCATAGCGTTCTTGGGGGAGTAGGTCAGTGGGTTAAGCCTCTGCCTTTGGCTCAGGTCATGATCTCAGAGTCCTGGGATCCAGCCCCAAATTGGGCTCAGCAGGGAGCCTGCTCCTCCCTCTTGCCCTCTCTCTCTCTTCTCTCTCTCTCTGCCTGCCTCTCTGCCTACTTGTGATCTCTGTCAAATAAATAAATAAAATCTTTTTAAAAATACAAAATAAAATAGAGATCCATAGCATTCTCCAGGTATAGGTGTTCATCAGGCTTCAGAAAGGAAGAGATTGTCTTTCTTGTAGCGCTGGAAAAGGCACCAAGAAAATTGGTGATAGAGGAAGAAACACGGAGATTGAGAAACTCTGAGGTAGCTCACCTCCAGCAGACTTCCATCTGACTCGAGATTAGGAGGCATGATTATTTGCAGAGAGTAACACCAATGGGTAGAGGCCCAAGTGTTTCAGGGCTTATTGAGCAAAGACATTTACAAAACCCTGGGAAGTGTGAGTGTGAGACACTTAGAGCTGTGTAAGAAGCACTCACGTGGAAGGTGAGTGCTCTTTTACCTTCTCTTACCTCCATGGGCACAACTCCAGTGGAAGGGCTCTTCAAAGCAAGAGAAGAGAAATCAGAGCAGAGGAGAAGTCCATGGACACACCAACAGAAGGGTATTCTGAAAGTCTGATTCAGGGTTTGTAGTTACCATACCGAATTACCCATTTGGGGGGGGTCAGATCTATTCAGTCAGAAAGTTTAGTCAACAACCAGGATAATGCACCACGGTGTATTGGGGCTTGTTGATAGACTTGTGTTTCTGATTTTACCTATTGGAAGAATGTCAGAGTTGGCACCCACAAGTGGTAAAGGAGCTCTTATCCCAAAATGCAAAGGTCGTTTAATGCTGGAGATAGACTACTATAATATATTACATAATGAAATAGAGTAAAAGAAAAACATTACTTTAATAGACAACAAGAAGGTATTCAATCAAATTGCATACCTACTTTTTATTTGATTTTAAAGATTTTATTTTATTTTGTTTTATTTATTTATTTGTCAGAGAGAGAGAGAAGAGCCCAAGCTGGGGGAGCGGCAGGCAGAGCAGGCAGAGGGAGAAGCATGCTCCCTACTGAGCAGGGAGCCCAATGCAGAACTTGATCCCAGGGTTCTGGGATCATGACCTGAGCCGAGGGCAGTCACCCAACCAACTGAACCACCCAGGCATCTGCTACTGAACCTTATGGGGCGCCTACGTGGCTCAGTGGGTTAAAGCCTCTGCCTTCAGCTCAGGTCATGATCCCAGGGTCCTGGGATCAAGCCCCACATGGGGCTCTCTGCTCAGCAGGGAGCCTGCTTCCTCCTCTCTCTACCTGCCTCTCTGCCTACTTGTGATCTCTCTATCAAATAAATGTCAAATAAATAAAATCTTTGAAAAAAAAAGAACCTTACAAACTAGTAATAAAGGAAATTTTTCTTGACAGATATATTCACACATGTACTCAAAGGTACTTAAATAAAAGACAAATGACTGGAAAGAAGTATGCAGAATTATCATTTGAAGACAGAATAATCTATCTAGAACATTCAGGAAAATAAACCACAAAAGCATTATTTTTCCTCCAATATAAACAACCAAGAAGAGTTGTAATATGTAGTAGAAGATCCACTCACAGTAATCCCCTCTGTTAGTTTCCTAGGACTGATTCAACAAAATCCCATACACTAGGTGGCTTACACAACAGAAATTAATTTCTCATAGTTCTGGAGGCTGGAAGTCCACGTTCAAGGTGTCAGCAGGTTTGTTTTCTACCAAGGTCTCACTCCTTAGCTTGCAGGTGGCCTTCTGCGTCCTCACGTGGTCTTTTCTATATGTTTACACACCCCTGGTGTCCCTTTTTATGTAGCGAGCTCTCTCTTTTTTTTAAAAAAGGCAAACTTCCTTGTGCTGTGCCTCACTTCGATAAGTCTGGAGTCTTGGAAGCTTGACTACCCTACATTCTCCTACAAATGGACCTTGAGAGCTTCTTTGGGGGTTCTAGCAGAAGAGTGCAGCTACTTGTATACCCTTGACGGAAGAACAGTCCTTCCCTCTCTCAGGGAAGATCATCTTCCATCTTCCATCAAGCATGCAGCTTCAGAGAAGGACAAGCAAGTGGAGGGTAAGGGAAGAAGGGGACTCCTCCATAGCCAGCCAAATCTACCCTGGTGACCAATGTCACAGCCAGATTTGCCAATCTTCTCCTTTTACAAGGACACCAGTCAGATTGTTTTGGGGCCCACTCTAATGACCGTATTTTAACTTAATCACCTCTTTAAAAGCTGGATCTCAAAATATAGACACATTCTGAGATACTGAGAGTTAGGACCTCAGCATATGAATGGGGGTGGGGGCACACAATTCAGCCCGTAATACCTCCAGAAAAGATACAATACTTAAATATAATCCTGAAAAGATCTATGAACAACCTAAAGGTAGCCAGCCATACCATGAAATTGTACAGAAAGACATAAAGAATGTGTAAATGGATGGATACATACCATGTTCTTAGTGGGAACTTCTCAGTATTAAAAAGTGCTAACTTATCCCAAATGTAATTAAGCTAAAAGGTATAACACAACTGTAACCAAAGCCAAACAAGACCTTCTTCACATCTTTTATCTTTTTGTGTTTTCTCGTCCATACTTGTTACAGTACCTTCAACTGTATATTCTTTATTTCTAATGGGTGTGCCACGTCAGCTGGGTCCATCGCCTTCCACCCCAAACTGACCTTCCCAATCGCCCTATACCTGGTAATGGGAATTCATCACCTGTCAGTCACCTGGGAGAAGATCCCTGGCTTATCTGAGAAAATTCTTCTTAGTGCACCAATAAACAATCAGTCCTGTGCAGCCATTTTTGTTAAAGTTAAACCTGTTCCTTCCATTCCATTCCTATCTGCCCTCCTTACCGCACGTTTGGATTTTAACTCTGCACGTCGTCATCATCTAGATTAACCTTTTCATCATTCTCTTCCAAGTTTACGATTACAGGGTATAATAACTCTACTGGGTGACCTTGGGCATGTTAATCACTGTGCTTCAGTTTACTCATCTGTAAAATGGGGATAATAGATAATAGTACCTACCTTATAGAGTTTTCATGAAAATTAAATGTTATAAATTGTTAATTTGTAGAGCACTTAGAACAGTTAGCACTATCTACATATTTGTTTAATAAATAAATATTGTTTTACCTGGTACTTAAAAGTATGCACTTTGAGGAAAATTCATTCCTGTGGGTTTAGACACTATGCACTTTTCAAATGATTATTTTCAGAAATACTTGACTAATAGGTTATCAATGAACACAGGTGTTCCTTACAGCAGTACATTTAATAGGAAAAGATTGAAGTAGGTCTGTAGAAAAAAAATGTAATAAAAGATGGTGAAGTCATACTATGGAAAACCATGGATGGAGACAGATATGTTTGTCAATAAAAGTTGCATTTGCTATGGAGGGATGGCTATAATACATTGAGTGAAAAAATAAGTCAAGAATAAGAGTCATAATATGGTTTTATGCACATTTGTCTCAGGAATAGGATGCACAGGAAGCTTTTAAGCACAGGGCAGAGGTTTCTGTTATGAAAATAAGGCTGGGGGACGCCTGGGTGGCTCAGTGGGTTAAAGCCTCTGCCTTCGGCTCAGGTCATGATCTCAGGGTCCTGGGATCGAGCCCCGCATCGCGCTCTCTGCTCAGCGGGGAGCCTGCTTCCTCCTCTCACTCTGCCTGCCTCTCTGCCTACTTGTGATCTCTGTCTGTCAAATAAATAAATAAAATCTTAAAAAAAAAAGAAAGAAAAGAAGGCTGTATGACCGCTCTACAATGAACATGTTTTACTTTTATAATTAAAGCTAAGTAAAAACAAAAGAACAATGAAAACTAAAAATTGTTCAAAACTTCCTTTTCTCTAGACATTTGCCTTTGACGATCAGGTTTTTATTTGAACTGCATGAAAATACTGGTGCTTTTGAGGTTGATGAGAAGTCAGATTGCTAGGGTTTGCTTCAAAACCTCTGTGGCACTAAGATGGTTTTAAAAACCTTGCAGATGAACCTCAAAAGTTAGTGTTTTCTTTTTTTTTAATTTAATTTAATTTAATTTAATTTAATTTTATTTTATTTTATTTTGCCTGAGAAATACTGAGAATCAAATACGCTTCATCCCGAAACTCGGGCAAAGATCATTAATGTAATTACCTGGAAAACTCAAATAAGATGAGACGCAAAACCTGTCTTAGGCGTTGATGAGGGTTAGGGGGAACAGCTACCTTCTTCAACAAATATCGGACTTTCAGAGGTAGACAATCTCTATGTGGAATTTTCTCATCCTCTTGATAATCATTTCCACTACCAAAAGAAAACTCGAGTTGTAAATTCAGTCAGGCACACTTGAAAAATGCCTTTTCCCATGTTCTTCCGGATTTCCTATACACCGAGATTCAAAGGGTTTGGGGTTTGTCAATAAAAGGTGGCCTTTTTAAAGGCATGACAAAAGTAAGCAATCTCAAAGAAATTAATGACACGGTGAGGTGTAACTATCAAGGCACCTGCTTTGCCTAGAAAAACAGCCTGTTGTTTTCATTTGCCATCACTGGGTCTCAAAAAGCTAGGCCTTAGCCACCACCTGGTGACGCTGATGACGCGCGATGTCTTACATCTGCCGCAATTAGAAAGGCTGAGCCTTCTCCTTTAAGAAGCTGACTCACGTGGATGCTGTGTTGTGTGCTCTCAGCTGGGAAGGAGGTGGATCCGAAGTCTCTCCACATTGGCCGCCTCCGGAGAAGGGGCAGAGTTAGCCTCTTTGATTGGCTGTACGAGTACGAGGAGTAGAGTCAGGGGCGGAGCGAGCTGCGGGAGCTCTCCCTGGGTCTGCGGCTTCTGGGAGGGGTGGGCAGCGACGCGGAGGGGAGAGGGAGTGGGGGAGGGTGAACCAGGGAAGGGGCGGGGCCTAGCGGAAGGGGCAGGAGGCCGGGGATGAGGGCGGGGCCTAGGAATGAAGGGCATTCTGGGCCAACCGGGAGAGCCGACTGCTCGAGGGGTGGAGCTATGCCGAGTGATTGACGTAGAGGCCCAACCAGGGAGAGGCGGGGCCAAGGCCAGGGCCTGACTAAACCTGGAGACTCGGGTGGCCGAGGGGCTTCATCCCAGCTGAGGAGCGAGGATCCGCTTACGGCCGCGGATCTCACAGTCGCTCCGGGTGAGTGCGGTGGGAGGGGGGCTGGACTAGGAGCCCGATGCGGGGTGAGGAGCCCTCCGGGCCGACGGCTTCGAAACACTCCGGGATCGGCCCGGGGCGGGGGGACCCAGGCAGGAAGTGCCTCTTCCTCGCTAGGCTCCCCCCGGGGGCCCAGAGCCGTCGCCCTTGACCCCTCTGGGCGGGTCCCAGTGCCGGGGCTGCGGGCTGACGGGCTGGACTGTTTCCTCTTTGTGAGGCCCAGGCGCGGCGGCCGCCGTCGGCCCGCCTCCGCCGCGCAGCCGGGGCAACCGGCTGGACCGCAACAGCCGCGACCCCTCAGCTCGGCGCCCGCGCCCTCCCGCCGCAGCCTCCCGCCCGGCCAGTCCCCCCGGCGCCGCCTGGGAGGCCCTTCCGCGGGCAGTTTGGCCGGCGATCCCCACCCCCCCCAATCCCACGACTGCCCCGCCCCCACGGGCCGCGTCCCCGCCGCAGTGTCGGGGGCGCGCCGGGGTTCCGCGCCACCGCAGTCGTCCCGGAGGCCTGCTCCTCGGCAGCCTCGCCGCGCCCCCTGCCCCGGAGTGAAGTCCGAACTCGGCTCCGAGCTGTAGGGCCGTGATTACGCCGCGGCGTGGCCGCTCTTTGAAGAGGGCTACCGTGCTGGCCGCCTGGCACTAGTCAGGAACCGGGGACCGCCTTGGCTTTGTGTCTGCCCCGCCGGGGAAGTGTCTGCCACCCTGCCGTGTAGCTCGCAGGCGGGCCCCAGAAGCGAGCATGGGGCCTCACTGGCCTGGCGGAGGGCGGGGTGCGACTGTCAGACGGGCGTCCCCGGGCCGCGACGGCCAGACCCGGACCCCGCGCCGCCGCCCGCTCAGCTGTTTCCGGCCGGTGTTTGTGGTGCGGGAGGAGGCCGCGGCGCGCTCGGCCGGGCCCCTCCCGATTGGCCCGCTGCGTCACGTGCCTGCAATCAGCTGGGGCCAGCTGGGGCCGCGGGCGGCCGGCAGGGTCTGGGCGGGTGCGGGTCGCGCTGGGCCGCGCCCGACGGGTGAGAGGGTGGGCGGGTGGGTGTGCTCTCCGAGCCCCTTTATTCTACCCTCCTTCGAGCTAGCTAGGTAGGACGATGAGTATTATGAGCAGTGGGCATTGGAAAACGGAACTGCTACCGAAAGATCGGTTTAATCCTGACACCTATTAATCCCTCCTTCAAGGGAGAGTCTGGGAAGGTGTACAGCTCATTTATTTTTAAAACTTTTTCTGTTTACAGAGCCATGTCGGTAATGTGAGGATTTTTATTCCAGGTCTCCTTGACAGATGGAAAACCTGAAGTAACCTCAGGCTAGCTAACCTTGTGTTTTTGGGAAACTAGACTTGCTGGTGAAATCCCTGGGGGTAATAGGATCTTAGCTCACTTTGCATGGCCGCGTGTACAGTGTTGCAGCAGCGTTCCAACACGGACGAACCAAAATACACGAAGTGTTCCCAGGGTAAATATTTCTGCCAGATCTCCTGTGTTTCTGTTGATTCTTTTTCTAAAACTTGGTTGCATATTTGTACTCTGTTAGATAAGAAGGAAGTTACCAAGAACTTTTCTCTAGAAGCCCATAGCTTAGTAAAAAGTCATAGACAAATGAAATTGAGTAACAGCACCAACTTCAGTGTTAGGAAACTATGAAATGAGTGTCACAGGAGTTTAAAAATGGGGCACTCGGAAAAAATGGGTAAGAGTGAAGTGGGAAGCATTCTTAGGTGGATTGGTACTGCTTAGACCTAGAAAATGGGTGAGTCTTTGGGTGGCTTTTGGGCAGACAGGCCTAGATAAAACAGGCCTGGAGCATTTACAAATAGTGAGAAGGTGGGGCTTGTGGAATTTGGTACACAATGTGTTTTTCCACTTACCGCATTATCTTTCTGGGTATGTACTGGAACACCAGGTAGAACGTACCTCCTTGGAAAGGACTGATACCTAACTTCATCATACCTTCACCCATCTGTGTCCACTATAAGCCTACTGGTTGATTTTCTTCTTAAGTTTATCTCTAGCAACCATCTTATCCATAGGAGAGGGAGATGATAAAATGTGTTCAAGTAAATTATTTAATTCTATACAGGGGAACTAAGGAAATTGGATTTTTAGAAGATGGCTTTTTCTAAAAAGGTTAGTAACATACATGTGGCCTCTAAAAATAATATATGGTTGAATCATCAAGGACTTTTCCCTATTTTTTTGCCTTTTGCCCTACTTAAGTAGTAAGAGAGAGAAAAAGATTTAGAAACAATTAAAAAGGAAGGAAAATAAAGCCAAAATTAGGTCTAAAAAGAAGATATTAAATTAAGACCCTACCCTCCAGCATGGTGGTAACATAGTCCTAAATATGTTTATGAGATGTGAAAGCTAGTTCTGAATATATTCATGAGATGTGAAGATAGTTCTAAGTACATTTGTGCCCAAAATATCATTTTAGGTTTTATAGAGCCTAAGTGGCTGTATAAATCATAATCTGTTTCTCTGGTAATCCTGTGGAACTGAACCTTAGGTATGACGTGAATTTGCTACTTGACACCTGAATCAGGAAACCAGACAGTTAATTTATACTCCAGTCCACCCAATAAGGCTTTTTTGACTCATGGTATTGCATCACAACAATTGAGAGATCTCCAATTTGTCTTGCCAATGGGGTGTTTGGGAGAGGTTACCAACTCAGATTGTTTACCTGACTCACTGAGTTACAGGACTATTATTTTCTAGTGATGACTAAACAATAAGTATTCTAGAAATATAGTAAACCTGGAAAACATTCAACAACAACAACAACAAAGGCATTATTCGAAGGACAAAAACAAAAATACAGGTTACTGCCCATTGAAGATCTGATTGCATAACCACAACATCTTTTGACCCAGCAAAGGAATCTGGCCAGGTATTGAAAGAGAATTAACAAGAGGAAAACAGCTTTCTCTTGTCACTGAAACCTTGGCTTGGTAAATATTTTGTACAAAAATTGGTAAATTGGTTTTATGGATTGAATTCAATTTATTTTCTCCCTTGCAGGTTTTCAGTAGAATTTAGTCACAAGTCCCTCTGAAAATAGTTGATGAGAAAACAATAGCATTAAATGTTAATTATAGTAATCAACCCAGCACTATTAAAAGTCTTTAGGTTTTGTTCCTTCTTTTGTCTTGGAGAGGGAAGAGACTGAAAAACAGATAACCATGCTGATTTCATTTTACAAGAACCATCACAAAACACAATCTCCTCTGGAAGGGCACATTTCTTGAACCCTTCCTGCACTAGGCCTCTGCACATTCAGTTCGCTGCTGGGGAGAGTCTTTGTAGGTTGCATTTGCCAACCACCTCCTGGCATTGGAAAAACCCCCGCTCATTTGTCCAGCAATAGGTAGAGTCCCAGTATTGTCTCTTCTGTGGCATGGAAATGCCCTGAGGAAATAATTACTTTACAGAGGAAAAGTGTGAATGGGGTGTTTTTCTCATCAGTGGATCCTTAGAGATGCAAATCAATACCTACTATTCTCCCTGGTATTTTTAGGGCTAGGCATTGTTATGCTTTCTTTGGCCAAATCTACCTGCCAGGGTTGGATCCCAACTGGATTATTAATTACAGGGAACCTTGACAATGAGAACTTGAGTTGCTTCAGAAGGTTTTCTAACTTTCCTTCTGCTTGTAATTTCTGTCACCTCTTCACTTAACTTTGCAGTAATTAACAGGAGGTGAAGCTGGTAAATTGTTTCATATTTTTTCTGTTTTGCTTTCTTCCTCTTTAATAGGATGGGGAAGTTGGGGTGAAGAATATGGATGAAGGAAATCTAGTTTTACTGCATCTACCTTTAACATTTGTGTTGTGCCTATTCTCGTGATGTATTATCTGCATTGAATTCTCACAACTCAGAGATGGATACTGGTATCTCCATTTTAAAGATGAAGAAGCAGAAGATACCATATTCAGTGTTTACACAGCTTTTAAGGGGCAGAGCTGAGATTTAAACCGAGGCTGTCTGATTCCAGAAATCAAATATCTGGGCCACACTGTTTAGATCCTGAGGATGGGGAGAGAAGGAGGGAGCAGCTAAGTGGTACATATTGCTTATTTTTGTAATCTTCTTAGAGCTGATCTAATTATAAAAAGTTAAAGATTTTAGCTAGGGAAAATCTGTGAGGACAAGGAGCAGGATTAGATTGATCCTGCCCAGTACTCCTGTTGATTCTTAAATCTGAGTGCAAACTAAGTTTATGTTTTTACTGAGAAAGACTGCTTTCTAAATGAAAAGCCCTTTTGCCATCTGAAAGCGTTTTTAACAGGGGTCAGCATACTTTATCAGGAGCCAGATAGTGAATATTGTGAATTTTACAAGCCATAAGATTTCAGCCACAACTATTCAGACTCTATGGCTGTGAGAGAACTGTCCATTATAAACAGATGGGTGTGGCTGTGTCCCAATAAAACTTTATTTATGGACACTGAAATTTGAATTTCATGCAGTTCTCACATATCATGAAATAATCTTTTGATGTTTTTTTTCCTACCATTAAAAGCATAAAAACATTCTTTGTGGGCCATACAAAAACAGGTGGTGAGCTGAATTTTACCCACAGGCCTTAGTTGGCTGACCCCTGCTTTTAAGGAAAGTATGTAGCAGTGAACCAAACAAAGACCAGGATACCGGATTTGTCATTGATTCTGTGTGTGTATGTGTGTGATATGTATATATATATGCATATATATATTACCTATGAACAAGTAGAATTTGAAATGAAAAACAATAACATTTAGCATCCAAAAAACTGAAATACCTGGATATAAATCTAACAAAATGTTACAAGATCTAAATGAGGAAAAATTTAAAACTCTGATGAATGCAATCAAGAATGAAATAAATGGAGAGACTACATGTTCATGGATAGGAAGACTCACTGTTTTCAAGATATCCGTTCTTCCTAACTTGGTATTGTACTGAATCCAAGTCAGAATCCCAACAAGTTACTTTGTGAATATCAACAAACTGATTCTGAAGTTTCTGTAGAGGTGAAAGAATAGCCTATACCATGTTGAAGGAGAAGGATAGTCAGAAGACTGACACTACCTGACTTTAAGACTTAATGTAAAGGTACAGTAATCAAGACAGTATGGTATGGGCCAGAGAATAGATCAATGGAACAGAATAGCCCAGAAACAGATCCACATAAGTATCATGAGCTGATACTTGACAGGGTCAAAGGCAATACAGTGGAGCAAAGATAATACTTTCAGTAAGCCAGTACTGAAACAACTGGATCTCTACATGAGGGGAAAAAATCAAGACACAGACCTTATACCTCATTCACAAAAATTAACTCAACATTAGTCACTGACCTACATGTAAAATGCAAAATTATCTCCTAGAAGATAGAAGAAAATCTAGATGGCATTGTGTATGGCAGTGACTTTCTGAATACAACGCCAAAAGCATGAGCTATGTAAGAAATAGTTGATAAGCTACACTTCATTAAAATTAAAAACTTCTGTGCAAAAGACATCAAGAGAGCAAGAAGATAAGCCACAAGCTGGGAGAAAAGATTTGCAAAGACATTGGATAAAGGTTTTATCCAGTATATACAGAGAACTCTTATTAAAAACTCAACAATGGGGGCACCTGGGTGGCTCAGTGGGCTAAGCCTCTGCCTTCAGTTCAGGTCATGATCCTGGGGTCCTGGGATCGAGCCCCGCATCGGGTTCTCTGCTCGGCCGGGAGCCTGCTTCTTCCTCTCTCTCTGCCTGCCTCTCTGCCTACTTGTGATCTCTCTGTCAAATAAATAAAAATCTTAAAAAAATTCAACAAAAAGAAAACAACCTGATTTTAAAAATGAATGAATAGTATATGAAAAGATGCTCCATAATACATGCCAATAGGGAAATGTAAATTAAAACAACAGTGGCGTACCACGATACACACACCAATTGGGATGGCCAACATACTGAACACTGACAAAACCAAATGCTGAAGAGGATGTATAGAGTAACAGGAACTTTCATTCCTTACTGGTGAGAATGTAAAATGGTACAGCCAGTTTGGAAGACGTAGTGGTTTCTTAAAAAAGTAAACATAGCATGTGATCCAGTAATTGTACTCCTTGGTATTTACCCAAAGGAACCAAAAATTTAATATCCGTATAAAACCTTCCTTTCATAGATTTCTTAGAGAAGTCTTGAGGGTTTTTTTTTGCTGTGAACCTAAAACTGCTTTAAAAAAAAAAAAACCCTTAAATCTCAACTAAAAATAGCCATTTTTAGAAAGTTGTTTTATTGACTTGGACCCAAACCAGGAAATTGTATAGTCCATATTGTCTAATTTTTTGAAATAGCTTGGACAGAGGATTAAACTGTGTGATTCTGCAGATACGTGGATTTCTTTTTTAATACAGTACTGTATAGATGTATTTCTTCCTCGTTTTCTTAATGTTTTCTGTTCTAGGTTTATTGTAAGACTATATAACACATTCAGCATACAAAAGCTGTTATTTGACGCTTAATGTTTGTCAGTAAGGCTTTGGGTCCGCAATAGCCTATTACGTTTTTGGGAAGTCCGTGGTTATGTGCAGATTTTCCACTCTGCAAGGTATGGGGTAGTTAACATCCCTAACCACCACCCCCATGACCACCTCCCACATCGTTCAGGGGTCGACTCTGATACATTCCTGGAGACATTTTATTTCATGGATTTTTCAAAGCAAAGAGAAAATTTTTTTCTCTTACAGATTCTGTAAATTCTGTAAATTTTTTTAAAATTCTGTAAAAACATAGAGGTTCAAAAATGTGATTGTTTCACCAGGGTCTCCTAGTAAAATAGAAAATTCTAGGTAGCTAAATGTACTGTTGAAGGGGAAGGAAACTGAAATAATTACTAAAATGTGATCTTTTATCTTTGAATTTCACTTACAATTTGAACTTGTACCTTCAGTTTCCATTAATTTCAGATAAACCGATAATAGGTTTCTAATAAACAACCATATTTGGTACTTACTTCAAGCTTTTAAGGATTTTAGTAACCTGGAAGTAAGAAAAGCTAGTACCAAAGAGGTCTCATTTATAAAATTAACTAGGAAATAGTACTTATTAAAAATTAAGGTTATTACTGTTTTTTTGCTTGAGATGTTAAAAAGGAAGAAAGCATATTAAAGCTTTAGCTATGAGAGTTTTGCCCTAGCTTTGGTCATAAACTTTGACACCGACAAATACCAAAGCATGTATTTTATTACTTAGAGACACAGTAAGGTGCCCCTAGACTCAACACAGAGAACAGTGGTCATCTATAAAAGCAGCTCAATTTTTAGGTGTTTTTAAAATATGTGGCTGAAGAGATTTGGAATTCTAAGTCTAAGCAAGGGACTTAGCTTATTAGGGGAATATTTTGGATATAAAAACCGAAAAATAGAAAATAGATCACTGGTTGCCTGGGACTGCAGAGGGTTTTGGGAATTTGGGGGAGGTGATAGAAATATTCTAGTGCTGGGTTCTGGTGATACAAAGTGGTGGCACAACCTTACACATCTACAGATGATTCAGTTGTATACTTACAGTGGCTAAATTTTATGATATGTAAATTATTTCTTTAAATTCGGCGGGGGTACCTGGGCGGCTCAGTAGGTTAAGCCTCTGCCTTTGGCTCAGGTCATGATCTCGGGGTCCTGGGATCGAGCCCCACATCTGGCTCTCTGTTCAGTAGGGATCCTGCTTCCCCCTCTCTCTTTGCCTCTGCCTCTCTGCCTTCTTTTGATATCTCTCTCTCTCTCTCAAATAAATCTAAAAATAATAATAATCTGGGGACTTTTTTGTTAAAATAATTAGCTATGTTCTATTCTGTCAGAAAAAAGTTTCAAAGTTTGTAGAAGAGTGGTCTGTAGGAGCTCTTAGAAAGAGATGGTGGGGCAACTGGATAGCTCAGTCGATTTGGGCTCAGGTGTGATCTCAGGGTGGTGAGGTCAAGCACCAAGTCATCTCGGTGCTAGGCGTGGAGCTTGCTTGGGATTCTCTCTTCTCTGCCCATTTCCACTCACTCTCTCTTACCCTTTCTCTAAAAAAAGAGAGAGATGGCTAAAGCGCATGCGTTTGACCTTTTGTAGTGCTATCAAATTTAGCACAAATGTTGGGGTACCTGCGAATGTGTGTTGCATTTAATAATACACACTCCCTGGCCTCAAGAGGTTTATCTAGAAGGGATGAGAATTTGAAATAAGACACCGATGGGGAAGGAGGAAAGACCTCCAAAAGTGGTTTAGGAAGTTTTGTTGATTTTGCAGTTTCTGTGACAGGTTGCCAGGGTATACTGGTTTAGGAGAGTGTCGTTCGAACTGGCCACCAACCAAGAAAGGAAATCTAGGAGAGATCAGCATGGAGGCAGCAAGGGTAAAGGTAAACCTGAGAGAGAAAGACGGTGAATCTGGCAGCCCTCTGGTTGCTAGAGAATGAGGAGAGGGGAAAAGAACAGCTGGAGCAAGGTTTCCTTCAGGCCCAGTGTGGCCAGTGTCAGGAAGTCACATAGACTTTATTTCTTCTGCAAAAGTAGGGTGACAATTAAAAACTGTCAAGATTAAATGTGGTATGTGAAGTAGTGTCCCATACAGTGTAGACATTAAAAAGTCCAAATCAGAATTCAGTATATCCTCCAGCTAAAAAGGACCCTGATTCAGGCACTGTGTCTTGGTTTTTTAATGACTTTTCTCCTTAAATATTAAGTGGTATTCTGACTGATTATCAGCCTCTTGAGAATTTGGATAGTGTGAGTCAATAGGTTGAGTTTCTAGCCCTGCAAAACTAAGGCTTAGCACCTAGAAGCTGATGACCCTGTAGAGGTTTTTCTACTTCATAAGGACCAGACCTTTGACAAAAAGGGCTGTTTTGCTTGCTTTTGCTAAATTTCATGGCATTCTAGCCTATCTTTTTTGGCGAATAACTAATTTTACAGTCTTATATCCATATATAGTACTCTATAAATGGAAATCACAACTAAGAATAATGATGCTGCACAGATATTTTTGGTCTTGGTAATGAATCATGTCACTGAATCCAGTAAAAATACTTGGGTAAAAATAAAAAATAGACGGAATTTGAAGCAAGGAAGAGAAAGCATATTAAATATCTTTACCACATTTAGGAATAAAGAATTAAGAACTTGCCTGTACCCAGTAGCAAATGGTCACAGTTATATGGTAATTTTGAGTCAAAGATAGAGTGATGTAGGCAGAGTTCATTTTGAAGTCCAGTATATTTTCCACAGCAGCCTGCCATGGCCAGTTCAAAAACATCTAGTTATTACTGCATTATGGTTGAAAGAACTTACAATATGAATATTATATTTAAAAGTTTGAAGGAAGGGGTGCCTGGGTGGCTCAGTGGGTTAAGCCTCTGCCTTCGGCTGAGGTCATGATCTCAGGGTCCTGGGATCAAGCCCCGCAATGGGCTCTCTGCTCAGCAGGGAGCCTGCTTCCCCCTCTCTCCGCCTGCTCGTTATTTCTCTGTCAAATAAATAAATAAAATCTTAAAAAAAAAAGTTTGAAGGAAAATTGGCTTTAAAGTAATGTGTCCCAGAAGCCCAAGCAGGAGACTAATTGCTGCACGATACTGGTTTTCAGAGAGCTACAAAGTCTGAGGACTGTGTCTTAAGAGGTGAGGCTATAAAACCTTGCTGTTGATTACTTTTCTGTAGTTGAGCAGCCGTAAAAAACATGACCCAGATCACCTGCTCACAAGTAGTTCTGTGCTGTGCTTAGATGAAGTCCTAAACCCAGATGTCTTACAGGGGAAGAAATTATGTGATGCAAAGTGTGACTGGGCAGACCCAATGACCTTGGGGGAGTGGCAGCTACCATTCACCTCCAGTCATTGTTGCCACAGGAGAACACGTGCCCTGTGGGCCAGATCTCCCCATTGTTAATAACAACAACACAGGCTCTTTAATGAAATCTCTCGTGTTTAATGGTGGCCCAGGTGTTTTTTATTAATAAAAGACTGTGGGCCAAATGAAACATGTCCACACATGTTTACTGGGGGAAGGGTTATTTATTTTGTTCACTCTTGTATCCCTATGCCACCAAATGAGTTTACCCCGTAGGCCTAAAATTTGCAACCTCTGACCCTTATGTAACAAATACTGTGTTCTTAAGCATCGGAAAAAAGCAGTGCTATCCTTTTAAAGGCTGTGAAATAATAATAACTCTTAACTTCTGTTGTCATTTTGCAGAAATGTAACCAAAAAGCTAAATACTATTTCTTAAGTCTTGTTTTCCCCCAGGTTTTATTCATTGACATGTTTGTTAATGAGCGGTGGTTTTCCTTCCACTAGCCACACATTTTAATTGTATTTAGCATTTGTTTCTCATTCTTATTAACTTCTATATCAAAATGTTTAATGGAAGTCATAATCTTTGGGATAATGACTTCTTTGATGACATTAGGACTACCTAATAACTAAGGAAGTTCACAGATAAAAAAAGGAATGATGGAACTTTCTCTTTAATTTGTAATGAAATTTCCCCAAATTTAAAACGACAGTGGATTCTTATTACAAACATAGATTGTAGGCTTTGTTTTCATAGTGGCAGCTGTATCAGCTCTGCATGCCATTTCAAAGATAGGTGATATAAATATTTAAAACATAGGAGCTGAAAACTATACCAGGAATAAATTCTTTTTTTAATGAGAGCTGTAGTACATTCTTGACTATATCTAGGTCTTTAAAAATAGTGTTTAAGGGGATTAATTGCTATGAATTCAAGGAGTTGCACATATTAGCTCTAACTTTTGAAAATAAATGAAGTGTGATTATCCTCCTGTCAGAATCTGGTTTCAAAGCTTCTTGTTTCCCTGCTTCAGCACTTCTGTGATTTATTGAATCAGTCAGTATGCTTTCTTCAATGTAAGTTACGTAATAATGGTTTATCTTTCCTTTCTTTTCTGTGCGTGTTTTCCTAGCCTTACACCAGGGTAATAGAAGAATTCTGGCTTTAGGGTGGGTGAACTGCATTCCAGTCATGATCTTCTGTATTTTGAAAGCTGTGTGACCTTTGATCAGTTAATAACCTTGGATAATTGATGAAATGGGGGGTGATAACCTCATAGAATTGTTGTGACGATTTTCAAATAAGCACGCAGTACAGTGCTCCGGCAGACTCTGACTCACCGATGTCCGTGCCATCGCCCCTACTTGGTTGCTGACATGCCTGACAACCAGAGCTGCCCTGTGCTCTTAACTGAGACCACCCTTTTCTCATTTTCTGATTGCCCCTTTTTCTACTCTTGTGATCACCCACACATACTCCACAAGTCTTTTCCCAAATGACATATGCTCAGAATGTACACTTACCACTTGGCTAAGCCTTTTTTCTCACATTGCTGCCTGTGCTTCTCATTATTCAGTTTCTGATACTCCACTTTTCTTCCTATGTTTGTCATACCAACCAAAAGAGAAGTGATACTGTTCTGGCCTTGTCTAAACATGTTTGCTCCCTTGGCTTACCGCTTCTAAAGGGTTCTTAGCTTGGTACGCCTGTTTATTTGCTCAGTGCATGAACCTTGGATCCTTCAGTGCAGAGTCAGCTACTTCCCATACTGAGTATTACAAAGCAGAGATCTCTCTCTCTCTCTCTCTCTCTCTCTCTCACACTCACACACACACACACACACACACACGGTTCTCTGTGACCCCCACCAAGTAGGTACCAACAATTTTTTTTTTTTTAATCCTAATGTTTCCTTGTTCTTTTCCATTTGCTCCTAGGTTTTTAGAACTTCAGCTATAAAAATGGGCAGAATTTTCCTTGATCATATCGGTGGTACCCGTCTGTTTTCTTGTGCAAACTGCGACACAATCCTGACCAACCGCTCAGAACTCATCTCTACTCGGTTCACAGGCGCCACTGGCAGAGCGTTTCTTTTTAATAAGGTTGGTGGGAAAACCAGTTTCATTTCCTAAGTGAGTTCAGTGGGTATATTTGACAGCAGTACCAGAACATTCCTCAGAGCTTAAAGATACCAGAAAGAGTCCGCATGAGGTCTATAATCTGCATGCAGAAAAGAGTGCCACTAGCTTGTCCTTTGGACCTCAGGAAGGCATTACTAGAAAGTGATTTTTTACTGTGGAAGTTTGAAAACTGTGTTACAATAAGAAGGGCAGTCTCCATTGCTTCATGAAACATTCAGTGTAAGAATTTAGTAGTGATTTCACAGACTATGGAAGAAGGGGCAGAAGCGCCCCTATGCCCATGTCACTGATTTATCCTTATAGGGAGATGGCGCGTTAAGCTTTCAAGGTTGACAGTGCAAGTGAATAAAGATCATCTAACCAACTTCCCTTGCTCTAATTTATGCTCACCGGTGATCCGGATTATGTTGTGGCTTATTGCATGCCAACAGGAAGAGTGTTTCCTGATTTACAAATTAAGACTAGTCTGTCTGCTTCTCTAATTTCTGGCTTGCTTAAAAATTGGTCAATGTGATTCTGCCTCCCGGAGTCTAATGTGTACTAGCAGAGTCGAATTTCGAAATCTTTTCTGGTAAGGGACAGAACTAGTCCAGGGTGCTGCTCTTAAAAGGTCAGCTAAACTTTCCCAGTGGACATCCCTCTGTTCCATTTAGAAATATGCTTTTCTCCCAAAGAATTGTTAGTGTACATCTCTTGATCTTTCTTTAGATGTAGACTAGGAGTTGGTATGCTTTGGCGGGGCAGCTGCCTGATGTTGTAAATGAAGTTTAATAAAGCACAGCATGCTCAACCATGTATGTATTGCCTGTGGCTGCTTTTGTGCTACAACAGCAGAGCTAAATAGTTAAAGATCACATAGCCCGCAAAGCCACAAGTATTTACTATCTGGCCCTTTACAGAAAAGTAAAGCGTAGAGGATTGCTGGATGTTCACAGTCATTGGACATTCTTCACAGATGATTTGAACCCATTGGAAAACTGTGTATCACAGCGTAGTAGACCTAGTGTGTCCTAGTCGGTTTGCCTATAAAATGTTTTTCCAGGAACAAATTCGGCAAACTTTTGTTGTTGTTGTTCTGGAATGCCTGTTTTGTACTAGGTTACTAGGTTCTCTTTCATTGTAGCCTTGTCCGGACTCCTCATTGAATGGTGAACGTTCACAGTTGGACCCCAACCAACATTTTATGGCTCCAGGTGGAGGGACTCTTCACTGCCACAGCAATGGAACTACAGGATGTGTCAGTAGTGTGGCTTGGACTAGTACATGGCACGGTGATGCAGGATCGCATTAGATGGCCAGTGTAGTTTTCCAGATTTTTGCCTTTCCCAGGAACTTCTAAAAATAGCCCTTGGGAAGGGTCTTGTAGATTTGACTAAAGTAACAACTGTGGTTTGCTTTTCGGAAGTTGCCTTTCCTGCACCAGCCAAAGGAACATGTACTTGTTTGGCAGATGACTCACAGGGCTTGGCAATTTTGTCTTCCCGTGTTTCTTAGGTAGTTAACCTGCAGTACAGTGAAGTCCAAGACCGGGTCATGCTCACGGGCCGCCACATGGTTCGCGATGTGAGCTGCAAGAACTGCAATAGCAAACTGGGATGGATCTACGAGTTTGCCACCGAAGACAGCCAGCGCTATAAGGAAGGCCGCGTGATCCTGGAGCGCGCCCTAGTACGAGAGAGTGAGGGCTTCGAGGAGCACGTACCGTCTGATAACTCTTGAAGAAAAAGAGATCACTCCATCTTTTCCCAGGTCTCCTTCACTGAAAACAAAAATCTACTTACATACACTGTCACCTTAGCATCAGGTCGGATTCATGAACTGCAGAACAAGAGGTTGTGAGAATCTAAGATGGAACTTTCCTTTCTTTCTTTCTTCCTTTTTTCTTTTTTTTAAATTTTCAGTTTTCCATCCAGCATCAGTGTGTAGAGAGAATATTATGCAGATGCCGTTAATTTTTTTTTTTTTCCCTGTGTTTACATCTTGAGGCAGAATAGTCTGTCTGCAGCTACGTGATGGGCTATGTGAGGGGAAAAAATTCTGGGCTATTAGAGTGAAAAAGTGTGTTTTATGTAAAATTTGAAAGGAAAATGTGTCAAGAGCATGGTTTTTAAACTTATTTGGGCTTCATTTAAAAAAATGTTTTTTTAAAACCAGTTATTTCACCTGATTTGCTAGCTTCAGGGAAGAGATCCGAATTTGTGACCAGCGCTAAAGGTTCAGTGTTAGTATGGCTTGTGCTGGCCGCTGTGCCATATTCTTGTTGGAGATGAACCGTAGCACCAGAGCCCATCCTTCCTTGTCAGTCTTGACCCAAAGATGTCACCATTCCTAGTTATTTGTCACCACATAATTGGTGTTGATTGGAAACTTTTCCTGAAACGGGGCAGAACTGCTTGGTTGTCTTTTCCATGTAACTTAAGCATAGTAATATAAATAAAGTAATAGTTGGATGTTTTTGGTCCTGTGTTGCTTTTAAAAACACCTTCTAAAAGAAGAGTGGAGTATTTGATAAGTAATTTTCATGGTAGTGTTTCTTTTCCGCTCTCAAGCTAAATTGTGTAGAAAAGATGACTTTGTTTAAATTAAAGCATACTGTTTTAAACCCATAGTACTGCATTTAGAAAAGAGTTGAACAGAATGTCAGTGTGTGTTCATGCAGAAAGCATTTCATCTGCATCTGTTTTAGAAGAAGGGGGAAAATGAAGGAGACTATCTAAAAATAAGGCTTTGCAGAGTGTTTTCAGCCTCTCCTCAGTTTTGTGTTGATTTTGACAAGTCTGTAGAACCTAATAGTTTCATCAAAGGACTAGATCTGTCATTAGCATTATTTTCTCAGATCTTCCCCCAGAAATTCAGCTATTGAAGTTAAAACTGTACTTGGTCCCTTGAGGGATCAGATTTGCCTCAGGGTGTTATTTTAGCCCCAAACTTACAACATTATGAAGTATTAAAATATAAATGTTTCTTTATCCAAACTATTTCTAGATATTCTAATACTTGTTTCTGGTGGAATAAATGACATTAAAATTGGCTAATTATTTAAATGTATGAATGGATGTTTGAGTGCTCAGTCTCTAGGTCTTTGTCTAGAAAGGATGTTTGCCTCAACTAGCAAAATCTTTCTGTCATTGATATTAGAAGTGACTTCTGAGTACAGTTAAGATTAAGTTTCTCTTTGCCTTCAGCTCTTGGTTAGAGGCATAGGTCTCTGATTAAGTAGGTGTATAATATTGCATTTGAGATAAGTGGACACAAATGATCTTTCCTTCACCATGGAATAAAACTTCAAGCTTTAAGAAACAGCTTTCATTCCCATTCATTTCCATACTGGCCTTTGATTATTTGCAGATCCCTGGTAGCATGCCATATCTGCAGCACTATGTGCATTTGCTGTCACAATAAAGTATATTTTGTCTTGCATTGGTGCAATACTACTTATTTCCCACTGATCCTTAGTTTTAACTTAGTTTTAATCATCTTGTCTTAGTTTCAACGTGAACATATTTGTCATACCTTTGAGTAGCTATGGCTTTCTTCGGTTAGTGATAAGGTGACATTCTGGCTTAGTTAACTTAACCCAATCTACACCAGGAGATACTGAATTCACCACTATTAGCTTCTGTTTGATGATTTTGCCTCAGACACTGACAAACTACAGTTTAGTACATAGGAACAAAAGAATGTCCTATCACTAGGTTAACCCAGGTGACTGGCAGGTACCACAATGAACAATGAGGTCCTCTGTGCCTTCTTTTTTAAAACTTAACATATGCAAAACAAAACAAAAAGAAAAAGCAACATGGGACGATGCAGTCAGATTGGATTTTTCATAGGAAGCAAATACACTGTTCACTGGGGCTGGGAAAGCACTAACAGGAATGATTTTGCTTGGGGATGAAAAGGTTGACCAAATACAGGGGAGAGTATATCCCATGATGACTGGGTTGCTGTGGGGTGTACAGGTTAAGCTTTAATCTTTGAAGACTTCAGAACCCTTCCTCTTCATTTTAGAAGACAGCGGCCTTAAGTTGTTTTGATTTTAAATAGTGAGTGGCTTTTATTTTAAGGAGAACCTAAAGTCAGTATTTTGGGGGTTAAACATTTGTTAATAATTACTGTAACAATTTAAGTTACCCTTGTAAGTGGCTACTTTTGGATTGGAGGAGAAAAATAGTGGCATGTCTGTTTTCTAAGTTCATCTATTCATAAAAGTCTTTGGGGATGCTTCAGGACAGTGGTGGCCGTAGCCCCAGGCCAAAATCAGTCCACAGATAATTTGGATCCAGCTGTATTGGGAAACTACCAGTTGAAAAAAAAAAAAAAATCAGAGACCTGTTTATGATGGTTCCATACCAGGTATAAAAATATCTCAGTTTAAATAGACATCCACTATTGCATGCCTGTTTTTAACACCAGCTTCCCACCAGGAGCCATATAAAACCTAGGCAAGGAAGTTGTGAATTGGGAGTAGAGCAAGATTAAACTGAAAAACTCCTGTTAGGCTAGCACTTTGCACTGGTATGAAAATTATTCTAGAAATAAAGTAGAACTAAAAGGAAACTTTAGGATGCATACCCATCTAAAATTGAGTATGAATTGTATGGCTTCTTTATTTTAGAATAGTGGGACTTAGCACATTGAAACTTTTATATATTATGGCATAAAATACACATTCCAAAGCACCTTTAAGGTGCTGAACAACACTCTACATATTTAGGCTTTTAACATCTGTAATCTGACCACCCAGGGGGCTTGTTAAATAGCGAATTATGCCTGCCCCAATACTGGATTGGCCTCTGAGGTGGAGCCAAGAAACCCAGGTTTTTTACCCAATTGCAAACATAACTCATCTGCAAATACATGACCGTCAATCTTCAAAGAGTTATTCAAACTCAATACAGTAGTCTCCCCTTATCCATGGTCTCCGTTTCTGTGGTTTCAGTCACCTGCGGTCAACCCTGGTCAGGAAGCAGGTGAGCTCCTGACATACAGTCAGAGGTCAAGACTAGCCCGCCCTATGTCACAATGCCTACGTCATCCACCTCCCTTCCTCCGGTCGTGTTGGCATTTTACCATCGCACATCATTACAAAAAGAGGAGGGGTGAGAACGGTAGATTATATTTTGAGAGAAACCATATTCACGTAGCTTTCATTACAGTATCTTAGAATTGTTATATTATTAATCTCTAACTGTGCCTAATTTATAAACTATAGGGGCATCTGGGTGGCTCAGTCTGTTAAGTGGCTGCCTTCGGCTCAGGTCACGATGAGCCTCGCACTGGGCTCGCTGCTGATCAGGGAGCCTGCTGCTCCCTCTCCATCTGCTACTCCCCCTGCTTGTGCTCTCTGTTAAATAACATCTTTCAAAAAATTTCTTAAAAAACTTTACAGGAAAAAACAGTATGTGTAAGGTTTGGTACTATCCACAGTTTCAGGCATCAACGGGGGCATTGGGTGTATTCTTTGTGGGTAAGGGGGAGGGGGATACTGCAATGTATGGTTTATGGTATGTTACCACCTGTACAAACAGGTGTTTCTCAAAAAGAGGCCAAAAGAGAAGCATGAACAAGAAAAGGATTAATATGATTTCCATTTGTTTGAAAATAGTGATCCTTAGGGGCACCTGGGTGGCTTAGTGGATTAAAGCCTCTGCCTTTGGCTCAGGTCATGATCCTGGGGTCCTGGGATCAAGCCCCACATTGGGCTCTCTGCTCAGCGGGGAGCCTGCTTCTCCCTCTCTCTACCTGCCTCTCTGCCTACTTGTGATCTCTCTCTGTGTCAAATAAATAAATAAAATCTTTAAAAAAAAAATAGTGATCCTTAAAAATGAGTAAGTACAACAGTTAAACTTTTTTTCTAAGATACACTTTTTTAAAGGAGGGGAAAATTCTCTTGGTAGAAAGTTTCTAGAAAAGTCACTAGACTTGAAAGGCCTGTCTTCGGGGCACCTGGGTGGCTCAGTCGTTAGGCGTCTGCCTTCAGCTCAGGTCATGATCCTGGGGTCCTGGGATCGAGCCCTACATTGGGCTTCCTGCTCGGCGGGAAGCCTGCTTCTCCCTCTCCAACCCCGCCTGCTGTGTTCCCTCTCTTGCTGTGTCTCTCTCTGTCAAATAAATAAATACAATCTTTAAAAAGAAAAAAAAAAAAGGCTGTCTTCAGTATGGAGTGTGATTTACTATATGACTTAGGGAAGTGTGTGACTTAACCTCTTAACCTTTGTTTTCTCAAGTATGAATCATAAAACAAGTCTTATCTTAAATGATTCTTGTTAAAATATAGTGAAATACATGGCCTAAAAACCTGTGAAGTATTATGTAAATGTATCTATACTTTTTTTCCCTGTAAACCTTCGCAGTCCTTCAGAATTTACTCTAATTTTACTCTAATGAATGGCCAGAATGCTCTCAAAATTCTTTAAATCCTTCCTGGTCTTGATACGCCTTTATAACAAATTAGGGCTAAAAGTCTGCTGTTTATCAAATGTTACCATCTTTACCTTTTACCATAAGGAACATTTCATACTCTGCTACAACATTTTACTTTGCTTTCAAAAACTGTCAAAGCTCCTATTTTTCTCCTACCATGGAACAAAAGGAAGCAAGGGCAAAAGGTTCAGTGAATACAACCTCAGTGATAAGGTAAATGAAGAAATAAAAAGCCTCCATTTTCCCCCCTGGCCAGACAGTGTAATTTTGGAGAATCCTGCAAGAATTTTCACTAACAGTGGGGCACCTGGGTGGCTCAGATGGTTAAACTATCACCTTCACCTCAGGTCATAATCCTGGGATCCTGGGATTGAGTCCCCATGTTGGGCTTCTTGCTCAGTGGGGAGCCTGCTTCTCCCTCTCCTGCTGCCTCTCCCCCTGCTCATTCCCTCTCTCTCTCTCTCTCTCTCAAATGAATAAAATCTTAAACAAAAAAAAAAAAAAAATTTTTTTTTCACTAATAGGTGTTGACCTTTTCAAACCTAATTTTCTCTCTCTGGTGTTAGGCTTAGCCTATTTCACACTAGTGCTCTAGTGAGGTTATTCCAATTTTTAAAAGAGTCCTAAGATCATGAGAAAAATGGTTTTATATACCAAGTCATCTCATTTTAATCCTCCTCTGTGGATTTGCCCTAGCGATGAACAAGTCGTCTCTTGTCCCTGGATTTAAAGCAAAGTACAAAAACCAATTCCATCTAATCATTTAAAAACATCCCCAGAGCAAAGCCCAACTTTGGGAAAGGAGGTATTTATGTTCCCGAGGATTGGCCAGAGGGTTTTAGGGACTGGTGCAGTTGGGAGACCCCACGTGGTGTGCCCCTGGGTCCGGGGCGGGGCGGGGCGGGGCGGGGCTGGGGGAGGGTGGCTTCAGCTGTTCCCAGAATTTCACTTCCACCAGCTTTTGAGGTCCCATGGAGTGAGCGGTCAGCACCTGGCCACACTACCTTCTCAGCCAACCTGCTCTACCTGTAAGCCCTTCTAGAAAACACCCAGCAAAGTGGAGACCTTACTCTGACCACATGAAGATTCTGTGCGTTCCCTCTCCCTACCTAAGCCATCTCCCTTCCCCAGCTTCCAAGCCAGTTGGAAGGTTCGCAGAGCCATTTCCAAAACCTGCCAAATGTGGGCAGGAATCTGAAGATTTTCAAACCCTTTCCTGAGTAAATCCTAGGTCCTGTTTTAAAGCAGGCTCCTTAGACAGTGAGTCTCAACGGTTGAGTGTTTTCAAGGACTTGACGGATAATGAGTAAAACGATCTGAGTGGCCCGGCTGAAGTTTACATTGCAGAAAATGTTTTTTTAATAGAACATCCTCGGGAACTCACGCTACCAGAAAAGCACCAGTAGATGGCATGAGTATGCAAGTTCAGTTCCTGTCAGTCTGACCTGTCTTCTGGAAAGATCATGGGATGGCGGGGAGGGGGCAGTCTTTTAGAATGGGCTCACCTGGATGAGAGAGGATTTTACTCCAACGGGGGAGAGTTTTGTGGGGGCCAAAGGAAATCTGATGTGAGAACATACTTGGAAACTACAAAGATTAGAAAGATGGTATTGTTTCCAGTTTTTGTGATAAGTGATTTCTGCTGTGTTTTAGTATCTAAAGCTTCAGCTTCCACAGCTTTAAGCAAGTTTTTCAACAGCTATTTTTTAATATTAGCTTTTATTTTGAAAAGGGTAACCAGAGTCCTAGAAAACTGACGCCACAGTGTGACTTTGCCGTTAGTTAACCTCCTGGAGCCTTGTTTCCTCAACTTTAAAATATGGAAAATAATCTATGGAGAATGTGTGTGAAATTTCTTTACAAGCCATACGGTATTCTAAAAATAAGATACATTCCTCTAAATTGAGTGAGATTCAGTGAGTTACTTCGCATCGCCTCCAGGTGCTAGAAAGTGAGCATTCATGCATCCATTGGCCAATGTTTGAGCGCCTGTT